GTATCACCAGAAAAACAAGAAATGGAAATTATTTTCATTCCAATTAGAATTTTAACGGCTACACTGAAAGAGAAAGGAACTGTTATATTTAGTGATTATCTGGAAAACTATGAATATTTTACTATACAAATGCACAGAATTACCACTCCTGTTGCTCTAGCTTGATCGTTGCAGAGTTATAACCAAAGACGCATATTTGACCTTGGTTACCTTGACCTTCAAGTGACCGTGACCAGTTTCAACTTGTAACATCCAGTGTACCCTGGTTATGTGTGCGCCAACTTGTGTGATGATTGGGTGAATATTTTAGGCCGCAGATGGTTCAGAAATTGCCAAAATTGTCTAACCTTTATAATGGTGTGACCTTTCAATTGACCAGTGTGACCTCAAATGACCTCGGATCATCACCAAACTTCGTTTTTTTTTTGCGGCTTCAGGCACGGGAGCTTGACCCACGTACCAAATTTGGTGACAATCAGTCCATAAATGGCGGAATTATTGTGGGTGGACAGACACACAGACACACACACACAGACACACATACAGGGTGAATACAAAACCTGGTCAATCCTTCAGGGACCAGGTAATGATCCACCCACATTCACATTCATAATGCACATTCACCAAGACAAGGAGGCAACGCCGGGTGAATTATGCTACGATCTGCCAAACGATCGTGGACGCCTGGGCTAAGGATCAGTCTCAAGTGTCGTTCATTTGTTTTGCTTAATGCTACTTATAATCCGGTGCACCTTATAGTCTGAAAAATACAATATTTTTAGCAGCCCCTCCATGGATCTGACCTGCAGTGTTGGGAAGGTGACTTTTAAAATGTATTCCCCTACAGATTACAGATTACATACACCAAAATGTAGTTTGTAACACAATCCATTAAGTTACTTAAAGTGAGTAACGTAATCTGATTACTTTGGATTACTTGACTTGCTGTAGAGAAGCAAAGACTACGATATCGTAACATAAGATGTTTTTTCTGCTAAAAGAAAATAAAAAGCCCAGACTTTACTGAACCGTATTAAAAATATTATTGATAGAAGATGAGGAGACACATCCACACAGCATGGTTTAGTCCTGTTAAATCCTGTTTTGGTCCTGTTTTAGACCTGGTTTAGACCTGGTTTTAGACCTGTTTTAGACCTGGTTTAGACCTGGTTTAGATCTAGTTTAGACTTGGTTTTAGTCCTGGTTTAGTCCTGGTTTAGTCCTGGTTTAGTCCTGGTTTTAGTCCTGGTTTAGACCTGGTTTAGATCTGGTTTAGATCAAGTTTAGACCTGGTTTTAGTCCTGGTTTATTCATGGTTTAGATCTGGTTTAGATCAAGTTTAGACCTGGTTTTAGTCCTGGTTTATTCATGGTTTAGATCTGGTTTAGATCTAATTTAGACCTAGTTTTAGTCTTGGTTTAGTCCTGGTATAGACCTAGTTTAGATCTGGTTTAGTTTCCAGCAATGAGTGGAATTACCGGGGGTGTATAGCCCAAAATGTGAAAACAGGAAAATACCGCCGTGTTATCCATTTATTTCATCAAAGTAACTGTAATCCAAGTACCATTCACTGAAACAGTAACTGTAACCGAATACAGTTACTCATAATTTGTACTCTGATTACGTAACTCCGGTACATATAATCCGTTACTCCCCAACACTGCTGACCTGTGACCTGGCTTTGTGGCTCGTTCACTTGCAGATCGCTGAGTTCAACACCATTCTGTACGATATTTATTCAAGGCCAAGCAATAACATCTCCATGGAGACAAACAGACGGCAGACTCTCCCCGAAAAAGCTCCACAGAGCACCTTTAATTCTCCATGGTCTCAGATGAACATGTGCTGAGGATACTTTTACACAATTTAAAGTGGTTTTAATGTGGTTTATGTGAGTTTAAATGGTCTATATTTGAGTATTCAGGAGGTTTAAAGTCTTGAGTGAAAGATCTGAGAGGGATTTGAACACAGCGGGCTCCAGTCTGTTCACATGAGACTCACAGACGACGGAAACTGCACACATGGAGAAGTCTAATCCGATGTCTTATATTATCTAGTATCTTTGACATGTACTTTGGAGGTACTTTTATGACTTAAAGGCTCTGTGCACTACTTTTATTTTGTGTAGTTCAGGAAAATGTACCATGCAGTGTGTTGTTGTTGGCCTTTGCTCGGTCAGCTCCTGTTCTGCAGCTTGTTCTCAACACCTCAGCTGACCAAAACTTTGATCTGCAAATCGACAGCACTGTCCAGTATCTTCGCTCTGATTGGTTATTTATGTGGGCGTGGTTTATCTGCTTTCTTGCCGGTGTGGAGCAAGAAAAAAAATGTATGGTTTTGAGTCACAGCTGGTGGAAACGATGAGAAAATACAAACGTCTATACAACACGACGCATGACTATGAAACTGGCAAGAAATTCATGGTGGGAGATCGTGGACATTTTAGGCTCAGATAAAAATCAGTGTAGAAAAGTGTTTGTCAAGTGTTTGTCAAGTTTGTGAAAGCCAAAAGACAGGTCACCAGAAACAAAGAGTGGTCAGGTTGGAGGATGAAAAGAAATCCCCTTGCTCTAAACCACAGGTGTCAAACATGCGGCCCGGGGGCCAGATCCGGCCCTCCAAGACCTTTAATGTGGCCCTCGGCTGATTTTCTACTAAAATATTTTAATTATATTTTCTATTAAAATATTGGTAATTTTCTGCAGTGCTTATCAGAGCAGCGTCTCCAGCGTCTCTGTACGTGGCCCCTCCCACCAGAGCAGCACAAATGAAGACTTGTCTCTTTCCAAACGCTCTTAAAGGACGATCGTTTTGACTGTTGACCGTGACACCTTCATCAGTAAAATGTCAAAAATGAGAAAAGTGGAGCCAAGTGCAGAATTTTCCAAAAAATTGACTTATTCTTATTTGTAAACAAGTTCATGTTAAAATGTTGAAACTGCATTTTTCTTAAAGTTTCAGGTTGTTCATAATATTATAATATTTTGTAAAAGAAAAAGTTCATCAATTTAAAAAGATTTCTGTAATAGATTTGTGTTTCTCTGCACAAATATTTGAACTTATTGTTATTTTTGGGGGTTTATATGTCATGAGTTTTCTGATCCGGCCCCTTTGGGATCAAAGTAGATTGGATACGGCCCCCGGACCAAAATGAGTTTGACACCCCTGATCTAAACCTCCCTGTAGTGGCTGAACTCCTTCATCAAACACAGGGAAACGTCGCCAATATGACTCTTGATCCAAGTCAAGTGGAGGTAACATATAAGCGAGGGGGCGGGGCAGAGCGAGGGGGCGGGGCAGAGTGAGTGGGCGGGGCAGTTCGGCAGCAGAACATTTTTTGAAGTATGAAATGTCAGAGCCCAAACAAATTTTGCTCTTGTTCTTATCACCTGGTTTGCGTTTCGGTGTTGTGTTTTAATAGACGAGTATCATAAAGAAATAATTAAGTGTAGCCATAGACTGTATATATAAATGGACATTGTCCCAGCCGGCTCCACTGACTCTGGGTCCAATTCACTTTGTATTGAAAAACCATCGTCCCTCTCTCTGTAACTGCCTCAATATTTTGGTCTTAAAATGTTCATATTAACCCACTCTACATGATCCTGGTGTTTTGTTTGGTTTTTTTCTTATTCCTAATATGAAACTAGGCTTCAAATTCACACTATAACCTTTGGCCTCAGTGAGCTTCATTTGACTGGACCTGAACTAGCTCTGAACTGAGCTCTTTTTCATTTGATTCAGCGTGTTTTTGATTCTAACCAGTAGCAGCACCTGTCAGGGACTATCCCACTCTCTATGTTACAACTACGAGAGAGAGAGAGAGAGAGAGAGAGAGAGAGAGAAGGCGGGAGAGAGAGAAGAAGGGAGCACGAGGGACAGAGAGAGAGGAAGGGAGAGAAGAAAAGAGCGAGAGAAGGGGGGGGTGGAGGGAGAGGGAGAGAGAAAGAGAAGAGTGAGAGGCAGAGAGAAAGAGAAGCAAGGAGGGAAGGAGAGGAGAGGAAGTGAGAGAGAGAGAAAGGGAGAGACAGTGAGAGACAGAAGGTTGGAGAGAGAGAAGAAGGGAGTAGGAGGGACAGAGAGAGAGCGGACGAGAGAAAAAAAGAACAAGAGAAGGGGGGGAATGGAGGGAGAGGGAGAGAGAAGAGAAGAGAGAGAGCAGAGAGAAAGAGAAGCAAGGAGAGGGAGAGAGAGAGGAAGTGAGAGAGAAAAACAGAGAAAGAGAGAGAGGGAGGAAGTGAGGGAGAGAGAGAAGGAGGGTGGGAGAGAGAGGAAGGGAGAGAGAGAGAGAGAAGAGAGGAAGGGAGGAGAGACAGACAAAGAGAGAGAGAGAGAAGGAGGGAGGGAGAGAAGAAAGGAGGGATTGAATAAGAGACTATTCCCTAATTAAATTAATGACTTTTAATTATTGTGTTATTACTGAAAAAACATTGTATTATAATATTTAACATCTACAAAAAAAAAAAAAAAAAAATTCAACAAAACAAACAAAACAAAAGTTGCTTTGGGGACATATTCATCGTCGAGTGAGTTTGTGGTAAGACATGACTACACTGCAAAAAGTCAAATCAAGTTCAAATGACTGGAGAAAATATGACCTTGATTCGAGCAAGTTTCACATGACAAGTCAAATAATCTACCAGTGGAACATGTTTTTCTACTGGAAATATGAAAATACATCTTGTTACATGATAAAATCTCACGAGAGTTAATTTTGTGTAATATAGGAGCGCTAAAAGAAGAAACTAAATCTTACTGCTTCTGCTGCTACTGCCCAGATTTTACTTATAAACTTTCCCTTATGTTGTCACCTCCTTGTTTCCATGGAGACAAAGTTTAACGCCAAATTGTGGATCAAGACAGACAAAAGCAATGACATCTCACAAAATAATCCCACTATTTCTCCTCAGCTCCACTTACACAGAAACAACTTGATGTCATTGGGAAATCTTGAGCTCTTTTCACCTTCCAGACCTGACCTGCAGTGCTCCCTCTCTCCACTAGGTGCCCCCTCTGCCGCTGCTTCTGCTGCTGGTGCCGGCTTGGTTCTTGTGGGGGAGGCAGCGTTGCCAGGGACTGTAGGGCAGAGCGAGCAGCAGGAACAGGACTCCGCCCACGATAAGCACCGCCCCCGCACACCCGATACAGGACACGGACCAGGCGAGCTCGTGGTGAAGGGGCACGCTGTGGTCGCTCGACAGAAACGCCAAAACCGACTGATGGAAGACGAGCAGAGACAGGAGCACCAGCACACCTGAAGACACAACAGAAGAGCGCAACAGATCAGCCCACATCAAATTCATTTTACCCCTACATTTATAAAGAGAACAAATTACGTTATTTTCTGGTCTATGTTATAATATTGTCTCTTTATCACAAACATATCTGCAATTGTGTTTTGTTTCATTCACTCATGTTTAACACACAAACCCTGCACAAGTTCTTCTCTCAAACAGTTCTTCTCTCTGTTTTTAAACTTCATACACCTTCACTGGAATTACTGGATTACCTCTATAGTTTAAAACTACCACTTCATGACATCACACGGTGGAACAGAGCATTTTTATGGAGTAGGAAAGCTTTCAAAAATATTTGTGTGCATAGAATAGAAATCCATGCATATTTATGAAATCCATGTATATTTGTCTGTAGTTGAGCATAAAATAAATATTTGTAAATTCTTGAATGAGTCCAGTTGTACATAAAATGTTTTGTATGTCATTTATCCATCAGAATACGAATTGAAAGGTTACGACATCAAGAATTACAATCACAAAATGAAAATTTACAATTACGCTTTCTTTAGTATGAATACGAATTCACAGACGCGACTTTACTGTCAAAAATACGTGATCACTTCACTGGCATTATTTACTGAGGAGAAGAAACATCAATCGAGATGCTGGATTTTTACACCGCATACGGACTGAACCAGGACTAAACCAGTGTAGGGACAGGCCCAGAGGTGCACCTGTGTAGACTGTCGAATGACTGCAGACGAAAGGACCGGCACGGAACCCCACAGGGTTAATTGCAGCCGTCGCCCGATCGCACATTGCGGACACCCTGCTCCACAGGCTTGGGGTTCTCTCTCTCTCTCAAGTCTAAGTTTCGTCCTGGTTTAGTCCTGGTTCAGTATTTGTGAAAACTTTCTTACTCCATACATTTTGAGCTTTGGAGACGTAGTCACACTCATAAGTGTTACTCAAACATGTGTGAATGAAACAAAACACAACTCCAGGTCTGTTTTTGATGAGGAAACAACATTCTAATGTGACTTAAAGCTCAATCTTGCATAATATAAGACCTTCAAGAATAATTTCAATACTTGCTATAACGTACAATACAAAACAAAACATTTCACTAAAAATGTCGTATCATCTATGTTTTCGTTTTACTTAATGTATTAGTTGGTTAGTCTTTAATCTGCAGTTAATTGTTAATATTTGAGTTTTGGGGGGAAAAAATCACTAGGATGACCTATGATTCATTTATTAACTAATAACAATCATCAAAACATCAGAACAGTTCTGATGGCCAACTGCCTTTATATTTGTGTAGCTTTAGAGTGATAGAATATTAACACAGTTGCCATAGCAATTAACAATTCAAGACAAAAATCATCTTTTAATGGCCAAAGTGTCATCTACAATAAGCAATTAAAAGTGTTAAAGTTGGTGAAGCCGACTGACACCTGCAGTCCAGCTTTTACTTTCCTTTGCACACCTCACTGCTTTTCTTTAAAACCACACTATGGAACTTTATCTAAAAAGAGACAAAAAAGAAAAGAAAAGAAAAATGTCGTTGTTTTGATTGTGTTTATTGGATTGAAAAATTCCTTCTCCTTGTTTCCATGGAAACGTTCCTTTGGCTATTATCCTTCACAGTATGGAAGTAAAAGTATCTCTCTCCATGGAGAATGGTTACATAATGACATTAAACTCCACACATCTGACTATATGTCCCTGTGCTGCACTTTACTCCTGATGCCCTGTCTGCTGCTGCTCACACTCTTACATATGAGCTGCACTCAGTGTCTTTATTGTGCTCATGTTTACACTAGAGATAGACCGATATATCGGTTGGCTGAGCTTATCGGCCATTGGTTGCTCTGGATTCCAAACAATAAACATAAAAACAAAGTATCACATCTCTACTTTACACTCTGGGTTTATTGGATGAGCTTTTGCTCCTGGTGTATTGCACTTTACATCCAAACTATGCAATGTTTGATGCTCTAAACCTAATTTTGTTGTGACAATAACAATAAAATCTCTTAAATCTTGAGTTTGATTTTAACTTTCTATTTCCATTCAGTCATGCAGGTGGCATTACACCTCCAGAAAGTTGCATACTGTACCTTTAAGCTCTCACAACAAATATATTTAAAAGAGTTATTTTTAAACTCACCAAACATCATCCACCAACTGTTGTGAGCGAGCTTTCAAACAACACTTCTGTGACCCAGACAAGAGCAATTAAACTCCATTACTGTGCTGTTAACCCCTGACCTCCTCCAAACAAGAGCTGCTCTCAAAGGTCTCCTCTGACCATGTTTCAAACCAAATATTTCTGATTATTTTTGTCTGTGCTACAAAAGTCCACTCTCAGTTTGAGGCAGTCTCACAATTCTGGGTTCAGCCATTGATCCAGAATGAACAGGGAGTTCAAATGAACCAGGTCAGAAATCTGTCACCTGCTTTCCCCAAGCTCGTCCCTCTGGATATGTTACTGCTTTACCTGCAGTGTGATATATGTTCAACTTATTTATCTTCTACTGATTCAACTTGTATTGCTTAAAGGTCCTATATTATGCTAAATATTATGTGTCTGTGTATATATATATATATATATATATATATATATATATATATATATATATATATATATATATATATATATATATATATATATATATATATATATATATATATGTATGTGCATATGTGTGTGTGTGTGCATGTGTGTGTGCATTCTGACCTGAGAGGATGAAGCAGACTGACGCAGGTTTGAGGAAGAACAGGATTTCTTTGCTCAGGGCCATGGTGATGCAGATGGCTCCCATCACCATCAGGAAGAGGCTGAACATGGCCAACATGGCAGATGCCATGCTCAGGTCTGTGCACACAAACAAGAGGATTCATGTCAAATACACTCAGAAACAACTCTAGCTTCCATTGCAAAAGAAAACTCATCAACTGTCAACTGGACAAGAGATTTGAAGAGTGAATACATTTCTCTGCCAATCAAAGAGGCTTCTTCAGTTCTGACAGAGCGATGTCAAAGTCTCTGCCTTCTGTCTCAAACTAACACTAACACAGGGGTGTCAAACTCAAATTCACAGAGGCCAAAATTAAAAACTGGGACTAAGTCGTGGATCAAACTAAATATTTATTGAAAACTTTTGAACAACATCTGCAACAACATCTGCATAATATAAAATAATAAAATTGTATTTCTCTATAGCCTATCTGTAGTTTTTGAACTTCTTTTAAATTTTGTTTTTCTGTTTTGTTTTGTTTTCTTCAGAAGCCACCAACCAGTCAAAAATAACAACTTGCTTCAATGAAAATCAAATGTTTCAAATATGAACAGTCAAAAATCATAAAGAAAACATTGATCCCAGCTCACTGTGCTAGACTGTGATTTACTCTGATTCACATGGCTCCAAAGCAGATACAAATACTTGGCTTCTCTTCTTAGATACAAGTTCATCAAAGTAGTAGTATTAGTACTAGTAGTAGTAGTATTAGTGGTGCATGTGCCATTTGATATGAGCTCGTGGGCCAAATATAATTATATTGCGGGTCAAATTTGAGTTATTTGTGGTAAGGACTGACTGTTATTAGACCATAAGTGTGAACTGTCCCTGGGTCTGATTCAGGATTGTTCCAACTCCTCATGGCTGGTGGTAAAACAGTAAATAGTTACAATGGCATTTTTATACAGCACTTTGCCACCTTCAGGTCACTCAGAGCTCATGGAACCAATCACACATTCACACGCACATTCACACACACATTCACACACACATTCAAAGGTGGGTTAAGTGTCTTGCCTGAGGACACAATGACAGCATTTACCTTTAATTCATAGGTAAATGTATATATCACTTTCAGTACAAACATAAAGGTCCCAGGAAAAATCTGTCATATTTGATATTTGTTGGGGTTTTTTTTACTCAAAATGACATACATAAATCAGAGGCTACAACACATGTGCCCAGGACTGAACCAGGACTAAACCACAACCAGACCGGGTCTAAACCAGGACTAAACAAAGACTAAGCCAGGACTGAACCAGGACTAATCTTGTACTTGCGATCGAGAGAGAGAACCCCGAGTTCGTGGAGCAGCATTGCTCTGTAGAAGCTGGAATCGCACCGCTAAACTGTGCATCTGACCACTCTACCAGTGATCTGTTATCACACTCTGCATTTGACCCATTCTTCAACCCCACTGGACAACCTGGTCTTGAGTTAGTCTTGGTCAGGAGTACCTTAACTGGAGGATTTGATCTGAGTATGGTGCCTGTTCGGGGCTGATAGTAAAAACCAGAGTGTCTATTGTAAATTGACCCAGGCACAGGGAGAACTCGCAAACTCCACAGACCCGGGCGACCAGAGAACGGCACTTTCTAGCTGTAGACGAGAGTGCTATATCCAGTGTGGAGAATATGGATTGCCATTATATTCCAGAGCCTTGAGTCGTTTCTGTGGCTGTTACTGTGCGTGTCTTGTAGAGCGATCGGTCCCAGTTGTTAACAGTGACATTTTAATATATGCTTTCCCCTCTGAGAGCCTAATGCATGATGGATGTGCTGTTTCACCGACGCACTTGAACGCATCGTGGGTGGAATAGATCTCAGCCACATAATACAACCAGGCCAGAGGACAAAGAGACAGAGAGAGAGAGAGACAGGGACATCACAGCATCGTATATTCATGTAGTGTTTAACTGCACAAAGCTAAATGTGTGCTGTGAAAGAGACCATTATACTGTTTTCTGATCTATGATATAATGTGTCCTCATCACAAACAGACCTGGAGTTGTGTTTGTTTCGTTCACACATGTTTATCGCACAAACCCTGAATATTTAGGCTGAGTTCTACTCTCTGTTCCACCTTGTGATGTCATGTGGTAATACAGGAAGTACTCCACAGTGTTTTTTATTTTGTTTTGTTTTTCTGGTATTTCCAGTCTGCATTGAATTAAAGATAAAAGGTAGCTGTTAACTTTAAAACTACCACTACAAGGCATCACAAGGTGGAACAGACCTTTTGAGCTTTGAAGATGTGTACAAGATGTAGAGAAACAAAAGTTGGTGAATGCTTGGCTTCACACAGTAAACTAACCAAACTTACTTCTGACTCCGTCTCAGTGATTGTTTTATCATGTCTGTGGGGAAACTGGCCCAAGTGGTCGAAGTAGGAGTCAGATGAAAAAAATGCACCTTCACCAAAAAATATTTATTGCATCCTCCACCGAGTTGAGGGCAAAATTAAATACATATTTACAAAAATAACTGTGCTTAACTAAAGCAAAAGCAACAGAAACGAACAGAACAAAAGAAAATACCCCACAGGCACCCGGCTGCACTGATGGTGATCTCCTGACTGGTTAAACCGCTTCCACTTTTATAATGCCCAGAAAGGAAGTCCCTCCCCCTGGGTTTGCACCAACTCACAGGTTAGATTATTGTAACTTCCCTGTTTTCCTGGTGTACATACGATACTACATATGATTCTTATATCTGAGGCCTAAATCCCCCTTTAAATTAAACAGTGCTCCAAATAAACTAGAACCACTGAAACCAAAATCTTACAAACCAATTTCATTAAACAAAAAGAACCGAAACTGAGGCTTCCCTCCACATGGTCTGGGCCAACACCTCCCCCTGAGCCTATAAACCCCCTCTTTTGTCTCCAGACCATGTGGAGTCACAGGTAAGGTGGTAAGTTAAACAAAATGAATTTAAAGTAAGTGTGTACATGGTGATCAATTTAACTAAACAAAGACTAAATAAAACAAACCCGGGATAGTAATTATTTAGCTGTTTAGTTGACTTGATAGATGTAAATGAAATAAAGTGAAAAAATGGGGACAAAGGCTAGTGATGGGCAAATGAAGCTTCAAGACACATTGAAGCCTTTCATCCAGTTGGTTCACTCTAGCGCGAAGCTTCTTGAAGCTTCATTTGCTCTAGCAGGACATCTACTGGACACAAAAATATCAGTTGACATGAATTTGAAGTGTGTGACATTTTGCAGAAAGCCTGTGAATAAAACTGTCAGCAAAATAAAGAAGTATGCAAAACATGTTTATTGTAGTGATGGCAGTGTACTGTGTATCTATGTACTGGCAGTATGGAAAATGATTATTTGAAAATGATGAAAATGGAAATCGCAGCAAAATCCGAACCATTTCCTGAATCAGTCACGTGGTACAGCCGGGCAGCGAGGCTTCGGACGTCATCATTTTCAGCTCCTCCCCTAAATGAAGCAAGCCTCGATACGCGCATCGTGGAAACGCCCCCTCCCTACTCGACTCACGCTTCGAAGCCTCGACACGGAACGTCACATCACTAGACAAAGGCCCTATTTGTCACAATGTCCTTTATCCAATAAGGGACATAACAAAGTGGGAGCTCTTCCAGGATTTGAACCCGAGACACCTTGCAGTAATAATAAAAGGTTACTTGAACGTATGAATGAAACAAAACACAACTCCAGGTATGTTTTTGAGAAGGTAACAACATTATAATGAGTGTAGAATCCCTCAGTCGTCCAGGTAGAATCCATGGCAAAGATAAACTCAGTTTGTCAACTGGACAAACGTGTAGGTCGAAAACGTTACACAGCTCATCCAAACTGCAAAATGTTTTCAATCTAAATAAGCATTTGTGCAGCTGACAAATTGAATTTCTCCTTTGCCAACATTATAAGATGGCTTAAAGATGCATTGTGTAACTTTTCTGGTGGAGGGTCCATTAAATACCTTTCTCCATGGATTATGTTATTGATTTGTCTGAAATATTTCACAGTATTTCACAGCATTAAACTTTTCTATCACCATTGAGACCAAACCATGCCAAGTTACTGATCAGATCTGTGGAGAGGCGACCCCACTCACAGTCAGAATGTCTGTTTTTCTAGGTGTTTTTGAGCTATAAAACCACTTGCAATTGAATAAATAGACTGTAAGGTAGAGCTTTTTAATGAACATAGAAAAAAGAAAAAAAGAAGATGATGGACCCCCACCAGAAAAGTTACACAGTGCACCTTTAAAACTCACAAGAGCCCATTTTGCGTAATATGGGACCTTTAAAGCCCCACTGTGTACCATTTTGGTCAAATAGACTTACTTTTGTGCGTAGTTTTCTGAAACATCACTGCAGTTTCTCCTGTCGTGAAGAACTTGAAGTAGGTGCAGTTTGTCTCTGAAAAAACAAAAGAATTAATCATTAGGTTTTGAGACACGCAAAAATTGCATTGGTTAAAGCTGCACTATGTAACTTTTCTGGTGATGGTTTGGACTGTTGTTTCTCCTGCTTGTCTCCTTGGTGATGTTGTGTAATTATGTTGCAGGTGTTTTTATTGCTCAGAAAAAACGGGAATTCTGGTGTGGTCAAAAGCTTGTCTCTATGGAGATAGATGAGTGTAATGCCATGCTGTGGAACATTCTAGACAAACCAATAACATCTCCATGGTGACAGGTAGTGTTGTTACTGTATATAATGCGCTGAATTCAAAATCGATATAATGGATTGACAGACCTACTGAACTTAAAAAGATTCTTCTGACAAATGGATTGATAATTTGCAGGTGATGTAGAGCGACCAGATGTCCTCATTTACCCGAGACAATCAGACCAGACGTTCCAATTTACTCAGGACAGTCCCAGTTTTAAGCCCTGTGTCCCCTGTAACAGCAGATTTATCCAGAACCATTAATTTGTCTCAGTTTTATACAAAAATGTTCCAGGCGTCTCTATTTTAGACCAATTTGATACCTGCAAAAAGTAAAGAGGCATAAATTGTCATTTGTTGAGGTAAAATACAGAAAAGCTGCTTAAAAATGACCAAAACACAAAGACTATGTGTCTATACTGACTCACATGTTCATCATGAATGGTCTCAGCAGAATAATTTTCCTTAATTATGCACCCTTTTCACAATTTTATGATTACTAACCACCAAAAAAAAAAAAGATGATTTTATTTTGAAAGTCTGGTCATCCTAAGCTGATGTCATTAACATTCCCTGGGGGTGTGATGCTAACTAAAGGCACTACTCCGTTTGAAGCTCTGTTACTCAAGTTAGACATGAATACATAATTGGAACTACCACAACTGAGCAGATTTTTACTGTTAAACAAATCCCTCTGGTGGAAGTATCGATCTATGTTCTCTCTAACATTTTAGTCACATTAGTCAACAATTTTTCACTTAGTTCAAAATCAAATTACTAAATAGCTCGACTTGCTCACAGGCTTTTTAAATGTGTTTTTTATATCAAAAATTAAGTTTAAATTTTTTGGCTGCCAGCAGGTAACAGGGGGGTGGGACCACAGGGGGCTGGGACGGGCACAAACTGAAAACAACATCAGAGTACCTCAAGTTTATATGCTCGGTTTAGCCAAAACATTTTAAGTTTTAAGTCTGGGGAAACTACTTTTAAGGGAAAAACAGCAAAGGGCAAACTCGTTCTTAAAAATTATAATAACATCTTTCACCTATTTTGGCTGCACCTTTTGACTTCTAGTTTGGTTACAGATAGGGCCAGACAAACTCATATGGAGTTGATGGATTCAGGTGATTTGATGCTTTCCATTGATAAATAACTTTCATATGTGCACATGCATTAGAATTGTTCTTTGCAAAAGGTAATTCTAAAAAGGTAGCATTTGAGAATTCAGATAGGTTGTGACATTTGGGGACATATTTGCTCTTTGACTGAACTGTGTTCATTTAATCTGAAAGTGATTGGTCTGGCTGTTCTGTTGAGTTTCCTCTGATTACATATATATTGTATTTTTCGGACTATAAATTGCACTGGATTATAAGGTGCATTAAGCGAAACAGACGACACTTGAGACTGATCCTTAGCCCAGGCGTCCACAATCCATTAGGAGATTGTGGCGTAACTCATCCGGTGTTGTCTCCCTGTCTTGGTCAATGTGTATTATGAATGTGAATGTGGGTGGATCATTTAAATTTGTTTTTTTTATTTCCTACAAGGAGGACTCAAATATACATTGAGTAATAATGTGTTTAATTCAGTTTTGCGCACATTTGTTTATATTTTACAGAAACAAATCTTAAAACTACACGGCTCATTTGCATAAACTATAAGTGTTGGAAAAAATCAGCTCGCTCCTTGTGCCCTGATGCGGTCAGCTTCTGTCGGCTGCTGATGGTGAGTCTGTTCTGTGTTTCTATCAAGTTAGAGATGGTTCATGGGAACTTTTCAGAGATAAGTCTGCAGGTCATATATAGTCCATATATATGAATGGACATATATTCTCTGTACCATTTCATAGACGTCATAAATGCCGACACAGAACTATACTTCGCCCTTTAATCCGCAAGGTTCCTGACTACAGTAGTAATGTAGTAATGCTCCGACAATCCATCAAGCGGTGTGGTTTAGTAGCTTAAGTCGTGCTTAAACATTTGGACAGATTTTTGAGCACCGTATACCACATAAAATCGATTCGAGGTCAGTCAGCACTACCAGAATTAATACATAAGGCGCACCGGATTATAAAGCGCACTGTCGATTTTTGAGAAAATTAAAGGATTTTAAGTGTGCCTTATAGTCATAGTTATAAAAATATGGTATAGAGGCTTTGCACCGTCACGTGTCCCCCATGGCAACGGTAACTACACCGCCATGACACCGGGTACGCTATGTCATTGACTTCAGTAGCATCGGAGAAACATGGGCAGGTTTTGTTGTGTATTTGGTTCTAGACGTTTTGAATGGGATAAAACATTTCGTTTCTTCACTGTTCCTCTGCAATTATCGAAAGAAAGACACGGATTATGGCTAGCAAAAATAAACCGCAAAGAGATTTCCTATGGTACCATCAAGACACCTGAAGTTTCATCAAGGTATTTGCTATTTAAATTGTTTCATAGCTTATTTACTGAAAGAAGCACATTTACTGAACTAAAATTTCATTCATTTATCCAGGAAAACCCGCACTAGTTTACAATTCAACGAACCCACACTGGGCTCCTATGATCAACATGACACACGAGTCGAAGAGTCTGTGAGCCGAACTTCGAAAGAATCGGTCATGAAAAGATCCTCGCGAACGTTAGAAAGATCCGCTCACAAAAAGCGATTAATTCTAGAAGATATAGTTGTGGATAAGCAAGACAATAAAGAAAACATGGGTCCTACGATGTGTGACATGTTTATATGTGCGATGGAAGATACAGTTTCTACTGCCACTCACACTGCAAATGTTTTCTTTTTTAATTTTAGTTCAGTAAATGTGCTTCTCTCATTAAATAAGCAATGAAACTATTTAAATAGCAAATACCTTGATGAAAGTGACGTGAGTGTGTCTTGATGGTACCATAGGAAATCTCTTCGCAGTTTGTTTTCTAGCCATAATTCCCGTCTTTTTTCGATAATTCCCTTGTTTGAGCTCCTGATGAGTAATTTACAGAGGAACAGTGAAGAAACTAATCATTTTATCCTTTTCAGTGCTTCTAGAACAACCAAATACACAACAAAACCTGCCCATGTTTCTCCGATGCTACTGAAGCCAATGGCATAGTGTGCCCGGTGTCATGGCGGCATAGGTACCGTTGCCATGGGGGACATGTGACGGTGCAAAGCCTTTATATGTCATGTTGGCATTGCTATTATCAGATTTTTTATGGCAGTGGTGAGCGTGACAGTGTGCGTGATCTGGACCCATGGGTGGACCCGTCGAGCTTAGTCTAAATTCTAAAGTAAAATCAAGAAACTGTGCAGAGTTTTATCCCATATGTACAGTATGTATCTACAATTCCACTTGCAATATTATAATAACCTTTTTTTCACGTTTGCCTAAATTTCAGTCACATTCATATGGCTGAAGAGGTGTTTTGCCCAAGTGCACAACATCAACAACATCGATACATTTCCAGTGGCAAGCGTCTGTATTAAATGAGCTCCTTCTGCCCACTTTTAGATGATCTGATTGCCTTCACCTCGTATATCCCGTAGTGCATCATTTGAGCAGCACATTGCATAAGTAACACACTGGATCGTCTTATTGACATTCAGTCTGCCTCTGCATCTCTCTGTTCTCCTTTTCACTCTCCATCAAATACAATCCTCCTGGGGCCTCAAAGACAACCTGAAGGAGAGCTGTTCCAGTAATTAGACCGTGCCCGGCCCCTTCATGTGTTCAGTAATTAGACTGCGCCGTCATCCGTTCACACTCTTCAGTCTCTATTAAAGTGATCAAAGACACTTCCAGCTTGTGCTCTCTAGCCCACGCATCCAAACGCTTTCTATTCCACATTCAAACAGACAGGATTGGATGGTTAACAAGAGCTGGGGCAGATGGGAAGTCGAGTGTTATTTAGACATTAGCTCGTTTTATAATACTGATGGAGATTTGAATTTGTTTTGACACGGTTCTCTAAGCGCCTGCGTTATTCTTTGGCTGCTGGAAGCTCCTTCTGTCGCCACACCTGCCCCGTCCTGCAACTGCAATTGGCTCTCTAACCATCGCCAATTATTGTTTCACGCACACAACAAATAATACCGGCAAGATGGCTGACATGTGTTGCCCAAGGACACAACAGTATGTATTAAAGCTGAGGTTGAATTGTACACCATGTGGTTTTTACTACCTAAGCCAGTGTCACTCCACAGTTATAAATGTACTACTATAGGAATTAAATCAAGGTGAAAAACCAAAAAAAAATCCATCCAGACTTCTTATTTTCTTTCTTTAATAAACTTCCCTTTCTCCAGTTTAGACAAGCTGGTGATCCCACAAGTTCAGTGCAATTACCAGACCAGTTAGAATCACACGCTTTGACAAAACTTTACAAAGACGAGTGGATCTGGAGCCGTGTCCTGTCTCCCTGATTTCAGAGGGTGTGATTGACAGGGCAATTAACCAATCAGAGACACATGCTCTATGCGCTTCACAACCAAACGTGGCTGCTTACACATTAAACGGAGGAAAATCAACATACATGTATCATCATCTCATTTCATCTGTGCAGACACGGCAGATGGTGATGATAGATGTATAGACAGTGTAGGATGCTCTATGCCAGGAGTGGGCAAACTTTTTGGCTTATGGGCCACAAAGGGTTCTAAAATTTGACAGAAGGGCCAGACCAGGTGCAGATGGATGGAGTGGAGAGAATAAAATAAATAACATGGGATATGTAGAAAACATGAGCTTGAATTTCAATTGAAAATCATTACAAAGCATTACAAAACTTTCAAGTCTCATGGTATTTACTATTTAATGAAATTACTCTTAAAACACTGAAAACTAAATTAATAAAATACAGCTTTTTTTTTTACTATTTTAAAGCACTGAAATTTCTGGTCTCCTTATTATATTATCATCATCACGCTCTTCCTTCTCTTCAGTGTGCGTCCCCAGTGCCAAAAGTCAACAACGACCAGGGCAAGGACGGAATAGTGTGCCAGTATGCGTGCATGTTATATTTGATCTGGTGTGCATTATATTGGGAAAGTATGTGCACCTGCACCACTTATGTGTACACCTTAACAGAAATGACATGTAACATGTAAATGCATTTTTACATAACAGAAGAGAAACTTACTTTTGATTACTCCTGAATTGCAGGAAAAATACAGATTAAAAGGCTTAAAGGGCTGCATACGGCCCCCGGGCCGTAGTTTGCCCACCCCTGCTCTATGCTCAGGCAAATGCATAAGTTTGGTTCTTACACCATTGTACACAGCCCACCTCTGGATTCATTACAAAAAGCCACAAAAGACACAAAAAGGTGTCTACAGTGACACTTTGCAGTGTTTTTGAGGAAGATGTTTGTTATTGCATGAGTGAACACTTTGCAAAGTGCACTAAGAATTTTAATGTACAGGTTTATTTGCAGGCTGAACAAATCAGACAATGAAACAATAATGTCTCTCATAAATATGAGATTCAGTGCAATAAGATACCAGTCCAACATGTGGAGACACTGGTATGGTTGTCGATTAAAAACATAAATGTTTACTGTTTTGTAATGTCACTGTCCTTGTCTGTTTTTAAAATCAACCATGAGTCCAAAATAAAGATGAACTAAACTGAACATAAATGACTGAGATATAGTGTGGATTTTCACGGAATCATCTTTCAAAGCATCAAACTATCACTTAAAAAGAGTTATATATTTTGTTTTGAACAGAATGTAAAAGGGACTGGATGGTCCAGTGTTACAAGTCAAATCTGTGGTGTGGCAAGCCTACTCACAGACAGAATGCATGTTTTACAATTTATATAAGAATAAAAACTAGAATTACAATATAGTGGAACGTTCCAGGGCAATGACATCCCCATGGAGATAAACAGGTAAACAGATCTTACACCATAAAGTTGCAGAGAGTATCTTGTATGTATAAAATTATAATCGGAAGATTTTGGTACATTTCCAAATTATATGGCAGCCATTTTGTCCACTTTGAACATATTTCAGTTCTTTGCTCTGCCATTTCTTCATAGAGCGATTATATTTTTAAACCATAACCTGAAGCCTCATGTCTTCCTATTAAAACCCTAATATTGTCTTTATGAGCGCTGGCACGGTCCCTGTGGTGCGTGGATTATTTTTATAGACATATTCCGTTGCATTAAAATAGATGAGCAGTTCCTGGAGGAGCAGTTCGTGTCAGACGTCTCACCTCCACAGCCCTCAGTGGACACATCAGAGGAACTCTCACATAAAGGAGTTTAAAGTAGTTTGTGTACGTGCTGTAGGACTCTTCTCTTAGTAGTACAGAGGGGTTACATCAGCAGTTAGATGGGCCCTGTACACATATATTGCATAAGCCGCTCTTGAGGTCAAAACATGTCCACTACATGTTAAATCTTTTTATTGTCCGACTATCAGGAAGTATGTGTTAACATGTTAGTTGTTGATGGCAAATCTGAGTTCTGGTCTTTGAGTTGAGTTGTGAAAATTGCTCATAAATTCATGACCAGATTTTCAAAATAAAAAACTGGGACATTCCTGGTTTGGGTTGGTAATAATAAATTTTTTTAAACAACTGCCTAATTAAGAAAAACTGTTTTGCACCCGGCACTAATGTGAGTCAGTAGTTACATTTTCTTTATGTTTTTGTCGTTTTCAATCAGCTTTTCTGTATTTTACCTAAACAAATGACAATGTATGCCTCTCTTTACTGTTGGCAGGTTTTAAATTGGTCAAAAATACAGACAGTAGGAACATTTCTTGTGTAAAACAGGGACAAATCAGTGGTTTTGGATAAATCTGCTGGGACAGGGGACACACGGCTCAAAACTGGGGCTGGCCCGGTTAAAGTGGGATATCTGATCACACTATTCATGGCATGAATTTTAAACTTTTACTCCTTCTTGAGTAATAAGTTTGACAAAGTAACAGTAGTCCTACTTCAATACACGTTTTGGTTTCTCTTCCCAATGTGAGTAAGTCTAAAAGTGACAAAATCATTATGTTGATAAAATGAAATGATTTGAACATTCATTTTTGTGTCTATCTTTTGACGTTTTGTTGCTCCAATTACTTTAACTACTTATTGAGTAGTAGTTACCCCAAATACTTTTACTTGAGTCATGTCTTGGACCACTTCTTACTACAGTACTTGTATACAATTTCTGTCCACATTTTGAAGCAGTGCATGACCAGATTAACATTATTCATTATCATATCTGGATGTAAGGGTCACCTCCGGGCAGCTCGGCCGGTCCACAGGTCTCTCTCTCTGGGTCGATGTCTGCCACCCACAGGGTCTTGGTGCAGCCCTTCCACAGGCCCAGGTGAGCCGTCAGACACGTCTACAACACACATGTCAAGCACACACATCAAGAGGAGCGATCAACACTGTGCTTCTCAAACTGTGGGACATGTACAAGGGAGTATGTGTGCTTGTGGTATGTGCACCTCCCCTACAGTATAGTTAAAGATCCTATATTACTCCAAATTGAGTCTTTTGAGTCATGTTATGATGCTGTTCTCTCATCAAAACTTACCTGGAATTTTGTTTTGTTTCATTCACACATGTTCAAGTAATATTAGTTTATTAGGCCCCGTCCACACAAGTACAAAATCCGAGTTGTTTTTGTTGTGGATGCAGTGTTCATCCGCACTAATCCGATGGAAAACGGCTCCAGAGACAAAACGATCTGGTGCCGCCAGCTCCCATGAATTCATTTGAGTACAGATCTGACCCGGCACTGTGTGGACGCCTGAAAACGCTGACGTAGGTCTATGCGCCGTGAAGTAATTCACCGCCAATATGCTAAGAGTCTAGAATATATGTCCATTCATATATACGGTCTGTGTGTACGACCTGCAGACGTATAATCTCTGAAAAGTTTAGCATGAATCATCTCCAACGCGATAGAAGTACAGAACAGACTCACCATCAGCAGAACACCCCTCTGTCACAGAAAGAACACATATAATCCACTGAGTCATGTCCTTTAATCCGACAGAAGCTGAACAACACCACGGCACAATAGTGATCTGTTTTTTGAGCGCTTAGTTTATGCAAATGAGCCATGTGGTGTCAAGTTTCATTTCTGTAAAACGTAAACAAATGTGCTCAAAGCTGTGTGAACAGGGAAGGCTTGCGGACACAGAAACAACGTGTCTGTACACAAATCGTTTCTGATACGGTGATACAGTGATTTGTTTCAGTGTAAACGTAGCCTTGGCCAACAGCCCCCACAGTGGAGCGTTTTAAGTCTCGTCTTAAAACCCACTTCTACTCTCTGGCTTTTAACACTGCTTGAGTTGTGTGCTCCTCTGTTTTAATATATTTTATTGGCTTTATTTATTTATTGCAATTCTATAATTTTGCTGGTTTTATTATTTTAAGAGTAGTATGATTAAATCTGAATGTTCATTTTATCATTTTATTATTGTTGTTATTATTTTGTATTTGTGCAGCACTTTGGAAACTGTTTGTTTGTGAAATGTGCTCTAGAAATAAAGTGGATTATATCGGGTTGGATGGAGGGCTAAATATTTTCTTGTGGTTCTGAACGTGAAAAGTTTGAGAATCACAGCACCAGAATAGACAGTGTGAGACATTTTAGATTAACCATAGGGCAGTGGTTCTCACCGAGCCCCAGCAAAGATCATATCCCTACATCTAAACCTGGACTATACTCGTATAAAAGTATGTGTATGTTATGACTATATGGTATACAACTGTGTAACTGGGTGCTCGACTTTCTACTACCATATTTTTTGGACTATAAGTTGCACTTTTTTTCATGGTTTGGGTGTTTCCTGCAACTTATACTCCGGTGCGACTTATATATTCAAATTTCAGACTGACAGCTGCGAGAGGACGCTGTAGGCTTGTGTGTCAGTATCTAGTACTCCTTTTACTCCTGTACCACTGTCACTTCACACTCAATTGTGCATGTCTCCTGTAGAAATAGCCGCTGTCTCGCTGCAAATAGTGAAACATTCAGACAAAAACAGTAATCAAGCAGCAGAAAGAAAGTTTGGAGTGAGTGAGAAACTTGTGAGGGACTAGCGGAAAGTGAGGATGGAGAACACAGCTTCACGGGAACCAGGCGGGTGCACCATGCAACTTTCCTGGAACTCACTGGATGAATCGAAAAAGCCTGAACTTCAGTGATACCGAAACCATCCTGTCAGGATTCAGAAAGACCAGAATAATTCTAACTGGAACTGATGCTGAGTTTGACGACAGCGACACAGAAGAGGAAGCGACGCATTGTTTACCTCATGGATCTATGGTTAATCTCCGGAGGAAGTGACACCGAGGATGAAGAATTCAGTGGATTTAATGATTTGGAGTGAGATCGTGAGTTTGGTAAACTTATGTTCTGGTGTTTATGCTATAATTATCTGAATAACTGTTGTATATGTTACATTAAAATATTAACTCCTATAGAGTCTGTTGTTCTCTGTTCTGTTGTTATTACTAGAACTTGCCTTTCAAGATGAAATGTCGGTTCCTGGTCTCTGATTTTATAAAATGCATTTCCCCAAAACGTGCGATTTATAGTCCTGTGTGACTTATATATGTTTTTTTCTCCTTCTTAAACTCCAGAGTGATTTATAGTCCGGAAAATACTGTAACTGGGAGCAGACTGTTAACAGCTGCTTCTCCTCACCAACCGCTCTCAACACCGGTTCCCTGCTGTATACTCTGCTAACATAAAACAGTTCGGCCTGCCACCTGACCTGTCAGGTTGTTAAATTTGCAAATGACACTGATGTTGTAGGTTTAATCTTACAAAACAACGAGCAAGCGTACAGACAGGAGGTACAGCTGCTGGAGACCTGGTGCAGACATAACAACCTCTGCCTTAATCCTTTCAAATCAAAGGAGTTGATAGTGGACTTTAGGAAGAACAGCTGCTCACTGCCCCCCTCTGCATCATGGACACACTGACAGCCTAACCTGCTCCACTAATGCAGCAACATTGTGAAGAAGTCGAACCAGTGCCTGGACTTTTTGAGGAGGCTCAAGGCTGCTGGACCAGGCTTCCAAACCCTCGTCTCTTTTTTATAGATGTGGGGTGGAGAGTGTGCTGATCCAGTCCGTCACAGTGTGGGATAACCACTGCTCAGGACAGGACAGGAAAGCTCTTCAGCGTGTGGTCAGATCGGAGAAGTGGAGAAGATCACTGGATGTGATTTCACACTCATCAGTGACATTTATGAGGAACCCCGCAGGAGACGAACCTCCAGGATCATGGTGGACCCCTCGCTCCCCTACCACCACCTGTTTGTCCTTCTCTGTGCAGAGACTGAGCAGCATCATAGCCACAACGTCTCAGCTGAGCTCCAGTTTCTTGCACACTTTTAAACAGTGCACTCCGACTTCCTGCTTAGGCTGGACGTTTTACTTGTACATGTCTATTGGAACTGCTAAATGCTCTTAAAGTACTATTTAATCTTGCTTATTTATCATTGTTCTTATCTCTTTTAATCACTGGACCTTGAGGAACAAATGTCATTCTTTTATGTGTTTCTCACATCCTTGAATGACAAATAAAGAACCTTGAACCTTGAACATAAGGGCACATTCACACTTGCACAATCACCACATCAAAATTGGGACTAAAGTAAACCAAGACTAGACCAGGACTAAACCAGGACCAGAACAGGATTGAATCAAATCTGGGCAAAAACCAGGACCAAACCAAGAGGTGACTAGCCTGATTCATCACCAGTTTCACGTCACAGAAACTGTCTGACTTCGCAGTGTTACAATTTGTTCACTTGACGGTAGGCGGGTACTTTTTATCATTTAACCAATCACTGCTATTTGGTAGTCACGAATGTAATGCTATGTCAAGCTTTTCCCAAATCCCATAGGAAGAAGAGCAATAACGTCTTTCCCCTTGATAAAATTCACCAAACTTTCTTTCTGTTCCGGCTTTAAATCCTCGATCTCGGGAATCGTTGACAACAGTGAACATATGACTCTTCGCTGATTGTCTGGTGCCCGAACTTGCACTTCCGGGGTTTTTTGTGAACCGTTTAGTGGGTTTGGATTTCTGACCTAGCTGCTGGAGAGAAATTAAATTGAGTGGAGGCACTAGATGGCGCCAGTCTGGCTAGGAGGTAACCACAGTGTATTCTAAAACAAATTCAGAGTCCGAACCGAAGGCAGCAGTCAGCACATGTCCCACAGTTTGAGAAACACCCCGACAGCACGTATATGTCTGTTTTTGTACCTGGTTGTTGTAAAAATGCTTCGGAGGAGATAGTTCCACCCAGAACTCCGTCCCAACACCGAGAACCGTCAGCACCACGCCCACAATGGCAACGAAGAACGCCAACTTAATCTGCAAATAGAAACAGATTTTGCATTAAGTAATTCATTAACTCTGTTCCACCATGTGATGTCATGTAGTGGTAATTTTCAGTTTAGCAGCTCTATTTGAAATGTGTGGGCAGAGTTTAAGTGTTTAGTTCCACTTTAACATTCTCATTGTCCCTCTCACCTTCCCTTCCTGGGCCTCGCTCATGGCCTGTGTTCCAGAGGCCGTCCTTCGTCTCTTATTTCCTCCTCCGAAAGTACTGCGTCCACTCATCAGACTGTTCAGACCCACAGGCCCCTGAGCCGGACCCCCCGCCAAGGGCATCCCCCCCACCTGGACCCCCCACCCCCCAGGACCCCCCACGGGCCTCCCCTCCTCATCTGTCACGAAGAACGTCGACCACATGATCCAACAAAACCTCCAGCAGATGTCTTCAGTTTAGTCCTAAGTCAATGGTCAAAGTCAAAGATTTAAAAAAACAATAAATGTCCGAGCTGAAAGGAAAACTCAAAAGTTCATGACAGTGGATGGTGTTTGGTTGAAAACCTCAGGGACAGTCTCTGAAAGGCCAGAGGACAAATGGAGGTTTGGATGACAGAGAGTTTGAGAAATGCGTCATGATTCAAACCGGTGAAAATTGTCGAAAATATAATTGGAAATCCAAGTTCATCCGGTGATCATGAAGAACCTGAGGAGGAAAAGAAGGTGTTAGAACATATATATGATTTGAAATATTAAGACACGACAGATGCTGGAGTTTTTATTTCACCATTTTGTCATTAAGAAATTTCTGCTCCAAATATGGGAATTCACTCTATAACTGAGCTTCATTTGACTGGAGCCAAACATTATGGATGACGTCACACTCTCTTAGTCCACTTGTGAATAGAGTCTATGGGACACTCTTGGGTCATGGCGCTCTGGCCTGGTCTGGAGTGTGGAGTGTCTGAATGAGCAGCTGTCCCTGTGCTCCAAATGAAACAATGTGATGACAAGAGCCCTGAACCACGACTGAGCTGTCAGAGCCTCACACACAAGTAGAAGTGCACTCTCACTCCTCTCTCACTACCGCTGGGTTAACAGCACTTAGAAAACACGTCAACAGGTAACATGGCTAAAGCCATATGGATTTCAGTGGGCTAAAAGGGTTAGTTGTGCCTCACTCTGGAAGGTACGCGTCGAATACTTGTGAAAATACAAACAGAGAATTAGATTAACACTATTTGACATACAGGACTTGAACAACAATATACTCACTGAAATACTGTGAAATACTGACCAAAGTACTACACATTAATAGGCCCATATGACACTATTTTTGATCTGTTATAAAGTAGTTTCATTAAAAACATATCGGTGTTGTGTTTTTTGTCACATGTTTAACGCACAAAGCCTGCATGTTTAGACTGAGTTCTTCTCTCAAGCAGAAATGTGATGTCATGTGGTAATACAGGAAGAGCTTCACTGTGTTTTTAAACTCCATACACCTTCACTAGAATCATGGAATAATTTCAGCCCTGGAATTGCCGATCTCTACTGAACTAAAGGCAAAAGGAGCTGTTCACTTGAAAACTACCACTTCATGACATCACAAGGTGGAACAGAGCATTTTGAGCTTTGGAGATGAAGACAGAGTAATAATGCAGTATTACTCAAAACATGTGAGAATGAAACAAAAGACAACTCCAGGTCTGTTTGTGATGGAGTTGCAATATTATAACATGCTCACAAGAGTCAATTTTGTGTATTATTGGACCTTTAACCCCTTTTTTCTGGACAGATTTATCAGACATCTGCAGCATGAAATGGGGAAAGAGATGTAAAGACGTTTAGCAAATGGTAATAACCACATATGTGCAACGCCTTGAATTATTACATCACCATCGAGCAGCATTAACCACCTTTTGAACTATTACTGCGTGTGTGCAAATCCACTCTCTGGTCTGCATCAGACATTCAGTGGAGTCAGTGGATATTTGAATCTGATTGGTTGAAATGCCACAGCAGTGGACCAAACTGAATCAAACTTTTGCTACATCCAGATGAGAGAAAAGCACAGACATCTTCCCTGTCCACAAATGCACAAAGTGTTTACTGTTGTTTTATGTCCTCTGCATGGTGTCAGCAAGGACACCTCCAGTTCACTGTTGACATTTCTCTGTGGTTAGTTCTGGTCTCATCCAACTATTACAGATATTGCTCTTCTTTAACATTATCAGTTTCCTTGGTCTGCTCATCTCACAGAACTCTCTTCTCATTTTATCTCGGCCAGCTTGTCTCCGGGCCGTCCTTCTTATCTTCTGTTTAAACCTCCGTGTGTGGAAGCATAGTCAGGCTTGAAGAGACAATACTAACACACACTGTTGAGTATTCAAGTTCACTGGGTCCTGGACTGAGGGTAAATAAACTTCTCCTGCCTCAGACATTCAGAGTCTCTGTCTCTCTGTACAACTCTAGGACTCATTAGGAAAACACTTATTTTCTTTAACACTTACCTTCTGCATGTTTTTCACAAATTAATAGTTTGTACTGTGGCTAAAATAGACTGAAGTACGTCCATCGGTGTCGCCATGTTTGTTTTGATTTGTTTGGGCGCTCTTCCACCTCAATGATGTGACGTGATTGGTCACCACCACCTGTTGGGCCCTATCACACCAGCGGGGCCAAGATGGATTCTTGTGAGTTTGTGAACATCATGAGTCTGATCCATCTGTCTGTGTAAGGGTAATATTGTGGAACATTCCATGTAAAGCAAAGCTCCATGGAGACAAGGAGGTGATGGACCCTATTAGAAACATTACAACCAACTTTAAGTATTAAAGCAGCACTTACGTATATAAAGATACATACTTCAGAACATTCTCCATGGAGACACATCTGTTTTATGCTGTAATGTGCACAGCAAGATGAATTCTCCCAATATATGTGAGCTCACAAAGAATCAAGAATCCACTTTGAGAGACTCCTGCTGTATAGTTAATCGGGTGGGCAACCAGGAACAAGTCGCAGCATTGAGGTTTGTGAACAGGAAGTCGACAGACTTTAGTCTGTTTTAGCATCTTAGTTTGTGAAAAATGTTCAGAAGGTAAGAACTTTGTGCATTTGTGGACAAGGAAGATGTCTGTGCTTTTCTCTCAACTGTATGTAACTAAAGTTAAATTTTTCATCTTGTTCCACTGTTGTGATGCTTCGACCATTCAGATTCAAACAATCATCATGATGATCTTCCAGAGAGAGAATGATTCCAGATTGATGATGTGTAGAACTCAATTCAGAGTGACACACAAATGAATAAAGAACGCATGTTTTTGTACATTTTTCAGTACAATTAAAACAACCAAATGAAAATTAAAAAAAACAAAAAACATGCCTTTATTTTAGTCTGTTTTAACTCAAATATGATTACCAGCCGTATTAGCAGTACAGTTTTAGATGTTACATAATATTAGCGTCCATTCTTAATCTTGCGTCTTCCTCGATCCCCATGAGGCTGGTCTGATGCTGAGTGTGCAGAAGTGTGCACAGATCATCTCACTGTGAGTAAACCAACCCTCTCCCTCTGCTATATGAGCAATACACTCCAGGAATCTGACCCCACACCATATAGCAACATAGTAGAACACTTATACACCGCCCCATCTTTTGGTTTCTTAAGGTAAACATTTGTATTCATGTGCAGGTATTACACCCTATTCGTTTGGCCTGGACCCAGTTTAGGCCTGGTTGAGACTTTGGATGGTCTAGTCCTGGTTTAGTTTCAGCTTCAGTGGTGGAGCGTCACAAAGTTAATGTATAAAGTATTGCGTTTAAGTATACATTTTAGGAATCTGTACAAGTACATTTTGAAGTCAATGCTTTTCAGTTTTACTTCACTGCATCTGAGAGCAGGTACTTTCTACTCCACTACATTTTTGAACTGTTTGTGACTTGCTACAAAGGTTGAAGGTTTATTTTTAACATATTCATAGTCAGAGAAAACAAAAATATAAATATACAAATATTTTCTGCACAAATCTGCAACAAAATCACTGCACTTGAAGCTTTATTAGGCCTCCAAATCTGCACAAAATGCTTTAACTTTCTACTTTTTAAGTACCTTTTTAGACAGATACTTTAATCCTTTTACTTAAGTAGTTTTTCCGTACTACTAGTGTTAGTTTAGTCCTAATTTTGGTCGTCTATATGTCTAAGTGTGAAGCCTCAGATGTGTGTGCAATGTCAGCTGTTAATCAGGCTTGACAGTCAAGTTATGTCATTAAAATAGCTTTGTTTTATATATTAAAATACAGCCAATTAAATCAGTTTTGATAATTAAACAAAAGTGGAATTTGTCAAAACATATAGGCAGTTTAACTAATATGAAGTTAGTGCAATGTCCTTTTGAAATGCCCTACAAAATTTGCACTTGAAACTTCATGCATGCAATGTCATTTTCTATGTCGATATCAAATACATGAATAAAACAACTTTTTTTTTTTTTTTTTTTTTTTTTTGCAGGGTAATTTTGGGCTCTATAAAATCCATATCAGCAGAAATTTCACATATATATTAATACTGATTTACCTTAAAGCCAGTCCTTAGTCCTTCAAAACTGCGTGTACTCCTTATACTGCTCCTATTTTTACAGCCAAAACTAAAGTAAAAGAAATAGACCACTACGGGAGCCTCCTGCAGCGTCTCCAAGTCTCTTCTATCTCCAGATCCAAAAATAAGTCCCGTCCGGAGAAAGTTTAGGAGTTATAGCCAGCTCCTGTTTAGTCTGACCCCCTCCCCCGCAGCCCCAAACTCACCCGGGTTTAAATTAGACCCCAGCGTTTTTATTTTTTCACTCTTTAGCACGTGCGTCTGCCCCACCGCCCATTCCACAAACTTCACAACAATGAGATTAACGAGCCGCTGACCTGCTTTTTGTGCATCGGGGTGCCGAGCGAGGAGGGGAGGAAGAGGAGGAGGAGGACGACAAGGGGGAAGAGGGGGACAGGTGGAAAGGGGAAAGGGGGAGTGGGGTTACAGACCCGGTGTGTAAAGGGGTGTACAGTATTAACAGGACTACACCAGGGCCAGAGGGTTGATACTTAGCAGTGATATCATGCTGAGGGGGATTCTAGATGTATGTGTATGGTGGAATGTTCATCAATCAGTGTTGGGAAGGTTACTTTTAAAATGTATTCCCCTACAGATTACAGATTACATACCCCAAAATGTAGTTTGTAACGTACTCCCTTAAATTACTTAAAGTGAGTAACGTAATCTGAATACTTTGGATTACTTGGTTGAGAAGCAAAGACAAGGAAAATGTAACATAAGAAGTTTTGTCTGATAAAAGAAAATCAAAATCCCAGACATTACTTCATCAAATAAAAAATATTATTGACAGAAGACGAGGAGACACGTCCACACAGAAT